GACAATCTCAGTTTTAATCTTGACGTGAAGTCTAGGCATTTCAACACATACTTCATATTCTTCGCACATCTTTATATATCTAGAATAGTACATTTCACACATTGAGGCACACTTTTCATGTATATATATATATATATATATAATTTCAAAACCAATTCATGTGAAATAACAATCAATACATCAATCAAATTCTAGTCTTACCACATTTGCATAGACACCAACAGAGCTCAATTTCTAAGAAGAGGGGGTTTTAGCCATACATACCTCGATAGAGCTTTCCTTAAATTTTTACACAACTCCGGAACTCTTATCAACTTTGATCTATTTTATGAGAATTACAAGATGAACCAAGTATTAGAGACATGATTAAGGTTCTAGCTCATTTGAGTATATTATCAAGCACTAAGTGTGCATTGTGATTTTAGGACCCTTTTGTGAGAGATTTTTATCATCTTACACCCCGATTTCTATCTTTTTAACTCACAATCTCCCCATACCCTATTTTCATTTATGCATGCAATATACCCATGAACCTTTCTCTTGTAGCAACCGTCCGATCTGCTAATATCTGGCCCCCAAAACTTGTTCGGCTGTATGATTTTGCTCTTGAAGCTGCTGCAAGTCTTTCTCTAGCTACGACATCAGGGAATAGCAGTGTTCTCTTTCTGCTTTGAAATCTCTTGTCTGCTTGGTCATTTCGTTCTCAAGGGCATTGACCCTTTTCTTCAGACCCATGATTCCTTTATCGTACTTTTCCTTCAGATGTCGAACGTAATTTGCCCGTCCCTCTGCATTCTTAGCTAACTTTGCTCGAGCCTATACTAGTTAGGCTTCAGCCTTTTCCAAGTCAAATCCGTAGTCACCTACCTTTTGCCTAAGGTTGTGTATAAGTTTCTTATCCTTTTCACTCCTGGCGAGCTTCTCAGTGGCTATTTTCATCTCTTGGATTTGGGCTTGGAAGACATCATTTTCTTTGGCTAGCCTTTTCTTTTCACCCTCATCCGCAGCGGCTTGTAAACCATTCTCAAATTGAAGATCTCTGACTTGTTTTTCCATCCTGCATATAGTGGCCCTATACTCATTTTCTTTGGCCAACCAATCCCTTTGTACCTGTGACGCTTCGACAAATTCTTGAAGATGGGGTCTTTTGGCTGGTCTTCCAAACTCAACACTTCTTTTATACCAAGCGAGGTAACCGAATAAGACTTCACCCTTGGATAGATCATGCACTCGGGTGTTTGCTGTCAAGTACTGGCATTCACTCCAGATCTGGCAAACCGCCGCTTCATGAAATTGGCCATCAGAGTGGATCTCGACTGCATGAGTGCTAAGGTCTTCATCCTTTGGAACTATTTGGCATCTTCCCAACTGTCTCAAATTCTGGTACGGGGCATAAGGCTGGATACTTTTGAGACCCATCAAGAGGAAGTGAGGACCGGTGGCAGACATGTATATAATTTCATCAACAGGAAGCCAACCCAACGTCCACTTTATTTTATCAGCAGTTATGGAACGGAGGTACGATATCCAATCAGCGACCCCTTTCGGCATCTTAAACCTGTCGGCCCTTGTATGAAACTCCTCTATGCAACTTTTTCCTGTCGACCCATAGTTCATGTATCGAGGGCGATGACATAAATGCTCAATCATCCATATTTGTAGCAACAGATTGCACCCTTCGAAATAATCTGCTTCGTCTTTGCAAGCTGTGAGAGCTCGGAATATTTCAGATACTATCATAGGTGCGAGGGTGCTTTTAGCATTAGTAATCAAAGTGTTGACGACTCCGGCTACCCACAGATCAATATTCTCGTCCTTCTTGGGAAACACTAGAAGACCCTAAAATGCTACCATGAAGGCGAAACATCTATGCTCTTCCCATTTTGGTCGATTCCCTTTACTGCAGATAATGCTTTCCAGATTTTCAAACCCTCCTACATGTCTGTACCGCTGGTATATGAAGCGTAGAGTGGAAAACCCCGCCGCCAAATCTGCATACTGGACCCCCTGCTTATTTCAACAAATCTAGAAACTTGTGAGGGGTAACGACCCTTGGAGCGACCAGGTATTTGTGTCTTTGACCATCGGTACTCCCATCATATCCCGCTATCTCCTCCAAAGTGGGTGTAAGTTCAAAGTCCAAAAAATACAAAACATTGTGAGTAGGATCCCAAAATGTTACTAGTGCTTTAATTATATATCCCCTGGGCCTGATCTTTAGTAAACCGGTGGGGCCCCCCAAGTAACGATTGACCGTATCTCGTCCTTGCCCACCTAAATCTTCCCACCACATGTGTAGTTCCAACGGAATCTTGATCATGACCTTTATTGGCAAATTTTGACTCGTGCTCATTCTGCACATCTAGATTAAGGTGATTAGTTTAAAGACAAAGTGAATCTTATTTGAAAAACTGACAAAAGAGGTTTTTTTTTTTGCAAAAATCAAGAAATCAGGGCTACTTTTGCGAATACAGCCCTTCAGCACTTTGAAATAGAAGTTTTTAGGGTTGTGTTCGCTAAATGGCCAAAATTGACAAAACACAGTGGGCGACTATTCTTGCAAAAACAGCCTTCCGGCGTCCCGTTGGGACATTCGGCTATTTAGACAAGAACTACATCACCCACTTTATTTACGACAAAATGACGATGCTTCATATATTTTTTCCAAAATTTTCAAAATGCGGGGCTGGACCCGATGAGGGTTGCCTACGTATCCCACATCCAGTGAGAACCAAACCCGCGTAGTTCGACCAGTTTTGACGCGACTGAAAAATAGAAACACTTTGAAATAATTTTTCTACTCTTTTTCTCTCTCTTTTTAAAAAATTTTCAGCAGAGTTTCGGGATGTTTTGGGTACCGGATTTTGGGCAACGGATGAAATTCTCTCTCATACCCCTCACTTGGTTTTTCTTTTTGCTTTTCCTCACTTAATCTAGAAGCCAGTCAACATGCAGTCCGAAACAAATTAAATGCACAGGTAGCACATAAAAATGCATCATGTTGGTCTTTTATTTTTGGGTGCGCATGTCCTAGACGGACCCAACCCCTGTGTTGAGTCCCCAAAGTCAAATGCACATGATGCAAATAAGCGTTCCTACTAGGGATCCGGCATGAGGTTGAATTATTCTAGGTTCAAAACCTGGGTATGTTGTTCTAGACTTGTGTACCCGAGTGGACAACTCGAGCCGATGGGGGGCTACGTACCGGGAACCAAAAGGCCATCCGGCTTTGTAACTTGTCCGAGCCTCTTTCTAATTTAAGGGAAGACACTAACAGAAAAGAAGTCACGCCAGCATGCACTTCCTCGAAGATGAGAAAAGAAGGGTTTCGTAGCAGTTTATATACAGTTCAAATAGTATCAAAGCGGTAAAAAGCAGCATTTAGCATATTAGGCCCAAACATGTAATAAAACCAGATAATAAATAAAAGCCAAATATAACAATTGTTCTAAGCTTGAATTTTTGAACCCTGAACGAGAAGTTCTGGGTTCTTCTCCCCAACAGAGTCGTCAGAGCTGTCACACCTCCTTTTTCCTACCCCCGAGAGGGGTATAAAGGGAGTTTTTCCAATTTAAGTGACAATCGAAATAGGATTATTTATTTATTTTTTTCAGAGTCGCCACTTAGGATAATTTATTGGTGTCCCAAGTCACCGGTTTAAAATCCCGAATTGAGGAAGGTTTGACTCTGTTTTTTCAGTCCGCAAAACACAGAAATTCGGATAAGGAATTTTGTTAACCTGGAAGAAAGTGTTAGGCATTTCCAGGTTCCGTGGTTTTACCACGGTCGCTCAACTATTATTATTGGCCTATTTATCTGATTTTAAAAATATTCTTGAAACCTATGTGCATTTTTATCCTTTTTAAACCCGCTTTTAATAATCCCATTGTCATACAACTAATTATTCGATTACATATTGCGAATCATGTCACGAGAACCATACATACGATCTACAATATATTTACTTTATTGACAAGATTAAATTATAGCCGGGTCACATAAATGTACCCCCATTTTTTTAGAAATTAAGCATCGCAACTACGTTACGGGAACCGTACCCGTAGCTATAATAATTTATTTAACTAACGCGCCTAAAGTAAACTACGAGGGTTCAAGGCATTTTTCTATACTAGTCAAGATATTGATGTGAGGGCCATAGACTAGGTGATTGTATGGCACACCTCAATTTTATTAAAGGAAAGCCTTCAACTAAGTGAACTACAGATATTTAAGACTAATTTGAAATTAGGTATCATAACCACGCCATGGGAACCATAGTTGTGATGATTTAAATACGTGCCTAAAGCAAACTACGAGATTCATGCATTCTCAAGGTTAATTCAAAGTTTGATGACAAGCTAGATTACAACTAAAGTATTTAAAATCGGCGCAAGCTTTTAAACTTCTGAACCGTTGGGCCCAAATAGGAAACTTGTCGCATCATTTAAAATCACAATTGCTGAACGCTGTTGGGCTTGACATCAAACCCAAAATGAAAGCAACAAAGACTGGGCGCTTTCAAGCCTGGCTTGGACCAGGCTACTCCATTCGAATTGGGTTGGGCCCAGCTAGCTCCCTGCTGGCCCACAACAAAGGAAATCTTTATTGTCCTATAGCTTATTTAGTTTTATAAAGCCTTGTTCTGTTCTTTAGGTCCAATGGCAACAAAATGACACTTTTAACTAGATAATAAATGAACAGCAAATTTATAGCAACAGACCTAAGAGGCAACGAGTCAATGAAAAGGTTTCACTCAGATTGAAGCATGGCAATATTACAAGTGAATCGTTTGACGAACTTTATAACATCTTCCTTTCCTAAAGCAATACTCATGCATTAATCACATAGTGAGAAAATAGACTTGAACTATTACATGAACCCATGAATTCCTATTCAAACAAATTCAAACTTGATTGGCATCCATTTAAACATTTTGGTATCATACTACTTAAGTCCTAGCAATTTGACACCATCATAGCTAAAGTAAAAGAAGCAAAACATGATACTCATGACTGACAGGACATTAATTTAAAAAGGAGCTTTACATCAAATCCCTGAGAAAATGAAACCCATATACTCATGTAATTCCCCAAAAAACATCAACGTGCAGTTCATATTTGGCCATCACCCTTTAACAATCATGTAATCAAGCTAAACTTCAAAAATCCTTACAACATTCAATCCTACATAAAATGGGATAATTACCACATACATTCAAACCTAGATTCTATCTAGCTAAAAGGAAATATAGAAACACAAAGTAAGGAAAACAAGAACAAAATCAAAATATTGAAGTCAATCCACATAGTCAATATGACATTTTAGAATGAAGAGGCAAATGATCCAAGGCTTCTTGTTCAGGATTCGATAGCCAAGAGATGTTCAACATACATATCTGGATACAGCAAACAAAATAAGGAAATAAATCTCTGAACTCAACAAGAGACAACAGGAAGCAATAGAACCAGCAACAAAGATGCAGCAGTAATAATCAACACTAGCTTCAGATCAGGTCATATCTTGACTCAAAAAACCAGAAATTGAAAGGAGAATTCCTCCAAAACTTTTTGAAAAAAAGAAGCAAAAAGTAGAAAGGTTGAAAACAAGCAGAATATTTTCAGAAGAAATTTCCAGTTGTTTCCCTATTTTTTATCTTCTCCTTCTCTGCCCTAAACAATCATTAAAAGAGCCTCTTATAGGAGGGTTTTAGGGCAGCAGACTTGTTTTTATTTCTTTACTATTACCCCTTCCCCAATTTTCTCTTTTTCCATTCAAACCCAACATTTAAACCTATTTAATAAAGCAACCTATTCTTCCACTTTTCTAGAACCTTCCTAAGTGGTTATGAAAGATTCTTTCAATTCAAAATCCCTTAAATACTCTTTAACCTCTTGTTATTAGTTTTTTTCCAGAAAATACCACAATTGGGCTATGCAGCCAGCATGCTTAAACCCTCTCCCTTTTTTGTTTTTGGGCTTCTGCACTACAAGGCCCAAATTGAAATCCCACCCAGTAATAGGACATGAATTCAACGAGGACTTAAGCAAACACACTCTGAATCAAACGACCAAAAAAAAGTTTTGAAAAAGAGACACTCAAAAGACAACAAATCATTAACACATGCAATTAAACCAATTATTAATCTATCGTTAAGCTATTATGAACTAAAAATAGTTTTAGGCATAACTTAATATCAGGCGAGGTCATGGAAAAAGAAAGAGAAGTGTACCAGCCAGTTTGTCAAGAAAAAACGTTGACCCGAAGAAAGTTAGAAGCAAGTCGATTACTTGCTCGCCCAAAATCCGGCCATTCTGAACCCAATTAGGACCATATTTAATCACCTCCTCACAATAAGGGTAGTAGATTCATGAATTTTCCAACGTCGAAGGGAGGTCGGATGAGGAAGGAATCAGAAAGGAAAAAGAAAACAAAAATGTTGGATGTTCTTCAAACTCGGATTTGAAATTCGGAGAGGTTGGATGATTTTTGGAGGAAGATAATAGTAGATTTGGAATGGGGGACAAAAGAGGTTGCGTGGTCAAGTTTTCGATGGACTTTGGGACCAACCGCCACCGCTGGCGATTTCCGGTGGGTGGCCTGCGGCGGTGAAGTGTAAGGCTTGAAGGAGATGATGGCAGGCATCTTAGGTTATTCTGAGGGTGTTTGGACATTTTTAAGTAAATGGGATGAAGCCTTCATGGCCATTGGATGAGGGAAAATTGAAGGGCCGGGATTACTTTTAACTACTTGAACTCAAAACGACATAGTATTGCTCTCATACTACGTCATTTCAAGGTCTTAGAGGCTGAAGGATGTTGAACCGTGTGAGTGGGCTGGACCGGGTAGACTACACATTTGGGCTTGGGTTTTGGGGGAAATCCGGGTGTAACTGGCCCAAACTCAACACATTAAATTAAGTCCTCTTTTATTTCCTTCTTTTTTTTCCCTTTTCTCTTGCTTTTCTTTTCTTTTCTTTTTTCTTAATTAATAAAGATCCCAAATTAAACCCTAAATTAATCTAAGTTGTAAAATTAAATTAATTATCAAATTATAAAATACATAACAACTAATTGATCCTAAATTAAAGAGAAAATTAATAATCCAAAATTAAAAGCTAAGAATGCAAAAATGAACTATTTTTGTGAATTCATTTTTTAATAAAGCAACTAACTAATTAATTAATCCTAAAAATATGGAAATAGAATCTAAACGCAACGCACGATATTTTTGTATTTTTAATGATTTTAATAAAAGTAAGCATGTACAAAGAATGCAAATAATTAACACAAATTCCTACAAAAATCTATAAAATTGCAAATAATTGGGAAAACTTTATTTCTTTAATTTGTAGGAGTATTTCATATAGCGCAAAAAATTACGTGCGCACAACCCCTATACCCATGAACCCAGTTGTTAATCATTTATTTTAATAAAAATTTCGAAATCATATATTAGGGCACAAGTTCTTACCTCTTAGGATGGAGGTCTAGCAAATTTTACGTGAAAATCTTCAAAGATTTGGGCAAGGATTGTAGTGACTTGGTAAGTGTTACTTTCTCCCTCTAGAACTCCCTCTCTCACTCTATTTGCAGTAAAATAACATAAAGGGGTCTAATGGGGTATTTTTAATGGGATGGGGTCGGGTTTTAAAAGTTAGAAAATAGGAGTCCCGACACAATCTACGATCGCATATGCGATCGCATAATGGACATGCGGCCCGCAAAAGGGACCGCAAAAATGGCCCCCAAAACCTGAACAAACTGCCCGGGTATGTGACAAGAATGCGGTCCTCATACATGTTCTGTGGTCGCATAATGCACCACAAAACTGCCTCTCGCAAAATTCTAAGGAGATTATACGATGACTATGTGGCTCGCATATTGATTATGCGATCGCATAATTGGTCGCATAGTTGACCTCAAAATTAACCATCAAACTACCTTACTCTGCGGCAATTATGCGGTCTGCATAGCTATTATGCGACCGCATAATGGACCGCAGAAACGTGCTTTTTTGAAAAACATAATTCCTTAACTTCTTAATGCACAGATCAATCCAAAGGGTCCGAACCGTTACGATGTTTTAACACACATTCCTAACTTGGCACTACGAGATTTTGGATTTTTCAGCAAAAAATTTCACGCGGCCTTACAAGTTTGTCAATGCTTTTCATGGAATGGGCTCTTACTCTTATGAGCCTCAAAAGCTCTTTTTGGATCTTGAGAATAGAAAAACTCCACCAACAAAGCCCTCAATTGAAGAACCTCCCATTTTGGAGTTGACGCCTTTTCCCTCACATCTCAGGTACGAATTCTTAGGCCCTAGTTCAACTTCACCAGTTATTCTTTCGTCTTGTCTTACTAATGTGCAAGTAGATGCAACACTGCAGGTGCTCCAAATAAGGAAAAAGACAATTGGATGGACTCTAGCTGATATTCGGGACTACTCCCCGCCTTTTGCATGCACAAGATTATACTTGAAGATGATGCCAAACCCTCCGTGGAACATCAAATGAGGTTGAACGAGGCTATGCAAAGGTTGTCAAAAAGGAGGTGATCAAATGGTTAGATACAGGGGTTGTGTACCCCATCTCGGATAGTTCTTGGACTTCACCGGTGCAATATGTGCTGAAGAAGGGTGGTATGATTGTGGTTACCAATGAGAAAAATGAGTTGATTCCCACCAGGACTGTCACCGGATGGAGGGTGTGCATGGACTACCGCAAGCTGAATAAAATGACCCGCAAGGATCACTTTCCATTTCCCTTTCTTGACTAGATGCTAGATAGACTTTCTAGGCGTACCTTCTACTGTTTCTTAGATGAGTACTCCGGTTACAATAGATTTTGATTGCTCCGGAAGATCAGGAGAAAACCACCTTCACGTGTCCGTATGGGGGAGGACTTCTTGGAAGTGTTCATGGATGATTTCAGTGTCGTGGGTGGCTACTTTGATGAGTGTTTGAAGAATCTTGACAAGGTGTTGGCCCGGTGTGAAGAGATAAATCTTGTGCTTAACTGGAAAAAATGTCACTTTATGATCGAAGAGGGCATTATCCTCGGCCATAGGATCTTCAAGCACGGTATAAAGGTGGACAAGGCTAAAATTGAAGTGATCTCAAAGCTACCTCCTCCTACTTCAGTCAAGGGGGTTAGGAATTTTCTTGGGTATGCGGGGTTTTACCGAAGATTTATCAAAGATTTTTTTAAGGTAGTGAATCCTTTGTACCAATTATTGGAAAAGGATGCCAAGTTTGTATTTAATGAGGAATATATGAAAGCTTTTGAACTTATCAAGTACAAATTGACAACCACTCCCATTATTACTGCACCCAATTAGAGCTTACCTTTTGAGCTCATGGGTGACACAAGCGATGTTGCGGTAAGAGCGGTCTTGGGTCAAAGAGTAAACAAGATATTTCACCTGGTGTATTATGCAAGCAAAAGAATGAATGATGCTCAAGTGAATTACATGGTGATAGAAAAAGAGTTGCTAGCAATCGTGTTTGCAATGGAGAAGTTTAGGCCTTATCTCATGGGTGCCAAGGTGATAGTTCATACTAACCGTGCAGCACTCCGCTACTTGATAACAAAGAAGGATTCGAAGGCTCGGTTGATGAGATTGGTTCTATTGCTTCAAGAATTTGACCTTGATATTGTTGATAGAAAAGGGTGTGAAAACCAAGTGACAGACCACTTGTCCCACTTGGAGGAGGAGGGGAGGACCCCTGATGGCCTCGAAATTAATGTCTTTTCCTGATGAGCAACTCCTCTCTGTATCTGTGAATAGCATGCCTTGGTTTGCGGATGTTGCCAACTTTCTTGTGACCAGTATTGTTTCGTGTGAGCTCTCTTCTAACCAAAGGAAGAAGCTTAAGTGGGATAGCTTGGGCTTCTACTAGGATGAGCCTTACTTGTTCAAAATCTGTAATGATGGTGTGATCCGAAGATGTGTTTCGGAAGAGGAGCAAATGAGTATTCTGGATGCTTGTCATTCCTCTCCCTACGGTGGTCATCATGGTGGGCGAGGATAGCTTCAAAGGTGTTTAGTTGTGGTTTTTATTGTCCTACATTATACAAGGATGCGAGTGAACTTGTGAAGTGATGTCATGAGTGTCAGAGAGTAGGTGGAATTTCAAAGAAGGATGAGATGCCTCTCACCACTATTCTTGAGGTTGACATATTTGATGTGTGGGCATTGACTTCATGGGTCCATTTGTAAGTTCTTGTGGTAACACGTACATTCTGGTGGCCGTTGATTATATTTCCAAGTGGGTTGAGTCCATGTTTTACCCAACAACGAGGCCCAGAGTGTTGTGGCTTTTCTCAAGAAGAGTATCTTTTCTCGGTTTGGCACTCCTAGAGCAATCATCAGTGATGAGGGGTCTCATTTCTGCAATAAGGCATTTGACACTTTGCTTGCAACGTATGGTGTCAATTCTACCCCCTAACATCCTCAAGCTAGTGGGCAAGTTGAGGTCTCCAACAGGGAGATCAAGAGCATATTGTCAAAGACGGTTAATGCAAATAGGACTGACTGATCAAAGAAACTGGATGATGTTTTATGGGCGTACATGACTGCTTACAAGACTTCGATTGGTATGTCTCCGTACCAGTTGGTGTTTGGGAAAGTTTTCCATCTCCTAGTTGAGTTAGAGCACAAGGACATGTGGGCCTTGAGAAAGTTGAATCTTGAATGGGATGTTGCAGAAAATCTCCGAGTGGAGCAACTCACTGAGCTTGATGAGTTCCGGTTTCATGCCTATTCCAAATCATCCTTGTATAAGGACAAGATAAAGTACCTACATGACAAGTATACCCGTAGCAATGAATTCAAAGTGGTTGATTTGGTTCTTTTATTCAACTCCCGGTTACGACTGTTTTCGGGAAAGCTTAAGTCAAAATGGAGTGGACCTTTTGAGGTGGTGCTTGTGACTTCGTTTGGTGCTCTTGATTTGAAAAACAAAAATGGTGAGATCTTCAAAGTTAATGTGCATAGAGTGAAGCACTATCTTGGTAAATTTGATGATAGCCACGTGGTGGCAATGATCCATCTCAAGTGATTGATAGTAACCTGCATCGTGTCGCGACGTTAAATCAGGCGCTTCTTGGGAGGCAACCCATGTGTTTTTCTTCTTTTTTGATTTTCTTCTTAGTATAGGATTTGTTTTTGAACTAACTGGTTATGATATGTGTGTAGGAATATTTGATGCAGTGCAGGGTTAATGTCACGACCCAAACTGAAGGGCCATGACTAGCACCCGACCACACTTGCCGAGCACCA